TGCCCAGCCTGGAGTGCAATGGCGTGATCTCAGCTCACTGCAACCTCTGCCTCCCGGGTTCAAGCAATTCTTCTGCCTCAGCCTCCTAAGTAGCTGGGGTTACAGGTGCCTGCTACCACGCCCTTCTAATTTTTGTACTTTTAGTAGAGGCAGGGTTTCGCCATGTTGGCCAGACTGGTCTCAAACTCCTGATCTCAGGCGATCCGCCTGCCTTGGCCTCCCAAAGTGCTGGGAATACAGGCGTGAGCCATCGCGCCCGGCCAAACCTCCCCTTTTTAATAGGAGTGAGGCTAATGCCTGCGGCACAGCTCATGTTTCCAGCTCAGACGAGGTGAAGACATGGCAGGTTTGAGAAGAGTAAATTCCCAGCAACCCAGCGCCACTCCCGGGAAACCTCGGAGAGAGTTTTGGAAGCAGCATCTCTCCCGGGTTCCCCCCGAGGGAGTCCCACCTAGCTACTACCTAGGGCTCTGTGTTCCAAGGGAGGAAGACTTAACAATACAATACACTCCAACCTGTTATTGAGCTCTTATCAGGTGCCAGGCATAGTACTAAGCACTTTATGTGCCCAAAGTACTTTCATCTTCTCAGCCACCCCAGGGATGGCTATTATAATTGTCCCCATCTTACAGAGGAGTAGGGCATGTGGCGGCTCACTCTAATAATCCCAGTACTTCGGGAGGTTAAGCCAGAGTATCGCTTGGGTACCTGACTACATCGGGGCAACCCCAGGAGATCAAGACCAGCCTGGGCAACACAGCAAGACCTTGCCTCTACAAAAAGCTTAAAATTAGCCTGGCGTGGCCGGGCACGGTGGTCACGCCTGTAATCCCAGCACTTTGGGAGGCCGAGGTGGGTGGATCATGAGGTCAGGAGATCGAGACCATCCTGGCTAATACGGTGAAACCCTGTCTCTACTAAAAAATTCAAAAATTAGCCAGGCGTGGTGACGGGTACCTGCAGTCCCAGCTGCTCGGGAGGCTGAGGCAGGAGAATGGCGGGAACCCGGGAGGCGGAGCTTGCAGTGAGCTGAGATTGCGCCACTGCACTCCAGCCTGGGCGACAGAGCGAGACTCCATCTCAAAAAAAAAAAAAAAATTAGCCTGGCGTGGTGTCACACGCTAGTAGTCCCAGCTACTCAGGAGACTGAGGTGGGAGGATTGCTTGAGCCTGGGGGATGGAGGTTGCGGTGAGCTGAGATTGCACTGCTGTACTCCAGCCTGGGCAACAGAGCGAGACCCTGTCTTAAAACAAACAAACAGACAGGAGTAGGCTGAGACTCAGAGGGTGAAGTGGGTTGATGGTCCTTAAGTCAGAGGAATGTCCTGGGGAGGGGTGGAGTAAGTCCTGGTATCCAGGGCTGTCTCTCCCAGCCTCAGTTTCCCTCCCCACATGATGGACGGCTCAACAGGAATACCAGGTATTCTGGGAACTGGTTTCTTCTAGTGCTGCTGGGAGTTGGGTGTGTGACCTTGCATGAGTTTATTGCCCTCTGTGGTCTCAGTCTTCTCTGTACGATGAGGAATGTGGTCCCTACGGCCCCTCAGCCCTACCAGTCCTGCCTCCATGTCCCCCGCTTTCTCTTACCATGGGGTTGCATGATGTATTTATTGACACTTTCTCACAGCCGGGGGAGCTGATGTTGGATGCCCAGAGCACATACTGGGGTTGCCCTGATGTAGCCAGGTACCCAGAGGGGAGTCAAGGAAAGCCTGGTCACACGAGGTCTCCACAGACCACTCACTCTTTAGGGACCTGTTCCTAGGTGCTTGTGCAGATCTTTTGCTGCACAGAGAGCACTGAAATTCAGCCTGTGTGTACCCTTTCAACTCTGTTCAGGCACAGTGCTGCTGTGTCTGCCCAGAGAAAGGGGCACCTCTTCCAGTGACACCAAGGCACTGTAAGGGGCAAGTATTGCTTTGTTTTCCATCACCCCCCAGGACTCCAAGAGTGGCTGGCTGCGTGGGCAGAGGATACAGAGCAGTCATGGCCCAGTAGGCAATGCAGATGAGGAGGAGGACAAAGGTGACCAGCGGGTAGAACATGGTAGACATCATCTGTCCCACAGCCCTGCAGGGAAACAAGAGCTGTTCACTGTCACTGCCCCAGCTGTCCATCTTCTCAAGGGGCTGACCCCATCTCTGCCCTTGCTGGGGCCTGCCCCACTCCCCCAGGGTGGGACCAACAGGGGCAATGACATTGTCTTTCATATCTGTATCCTCAGGGCCTGGTGCAGGGCTAGGCACACTGTAGGTGCTCACTGGATAAACAGAACTGAATAAATCAGGCTCACAGGACCCTTAGAGGAAACTAGAGTCACAGAGAAACCATCTGGGGCAGCTTCAGGTGGAGTAAGGGAAGATCACCCCCAAGTGTGATCCCTTGGCAGGTGTGTGTGGCAGTTCCTGCTCAGGAGCAAGCTGCTGCCCCTCCTGGCCTGGATTCCTGCCATTCCACTCAGCCACCACCACTCCCACTAACCCCTCTAGAAGGCCTATGTCATGTTCCAGGCACTCATTTAATCCTCACGACAACCCTGGAAGGCAGGAACTATTGTTACCCCCATTTTACAGATGGGGAAGTAGAGGCTTAGAGAGGCAAAGCCACAGCAGTGTTCACCACTGCGCTATTCCTCCCTTCTCCTCTGAGGCTCCCTGCCACCTCTCTAGCACCCCCCGTCCTGGGTCCACGCTGTCCTCAGCCCCATGTCCCTCCCAGGCAGGCCCTAACTTGCTGGCCTCCTTCAGGAGGGCGATGGCAATACGAATCCGCTGCCGCAGGAAGATGAGCACCAACAGCAGGATGGCTTCAAGCACCGCCAGCACGATCACTGCAGGGGACGGGCAGACAGACCTAGGTCAGGGCCAGGGCTGGGGCTGGGCATGGCCCAGGGCAGTCCTTGGGCAGCTGGTGGCTTGGGGGTGGGCAGGACACTCACGGGCGGCCAGCCAGGTCTCCTGCACGCTCTGGTAGGCACTGAGGTTGGTGGTGAAACCCAGCTGGGAGATGGAGGCGCCCTTGTCCCGCAGCACTCGGTACTCCTCCCAGCAGTAGTACATGCCGTATGCCAGCACGCCCAGGACCCCCAGGATCAGCACCAGCACCAGGGGCCCAGCCACCAGGCGCAGAAGCAAGATAAACAGTAGGCTCAAGACCAGAGCCACTCCCAGGGCTCTGTAGGCAGGGTGAGGACAGTGAGGTTCAGCCCTAGTCCCTCAAATCTTTTCCCTTTCAGAGACTCCCCCTGCCTTTCCACACACCACCCAACGTCCCCAGATTAGGCCTCTTTCCCTTATAAATCCTGTTGGTTTTGGAATCCATTCTGAGCTCTGGCTCCTCCTCCTCTGTCCAAAGCCTGTGTTTCAGACATTGGGCGAGGGGATAGAGGATCAGGGAGGGAGAAGGCAAGGACACGAGAGAAGGGGAATCTGGTGACTCACACAAGAATCCAATACCAGGACTGGGCAAAATCTTCAAAGATCTTAACACTGATGTCTCGGGCATTGAGGCTGTCAATAAGACCACTGTTGGGGAGACAGAGTCAGACGGGGCTGTGGGTGGAAGGGGTGTGGCCAGGATGTGGGGGAGGGAGGTGCCTACCTGATCCCCTGCGCTATGGTGGTGTCATTGGTGATCCCTGGGAGCTCCGGTAGAGTGACGTTGGTCCATGGGAAGCAGCGCCCCAGAGCTAGAAGGGAGAGCCGGGCTGCTGGGTGGGGGCCAGGAGCTCTGCCTGGAAGGTCTCTGGCCCCCTCACAGTCCACAGTGCCCTTAGGGGAGGGAAGGGTGATGGGCTTTTCGTCCCTCAGTGGGCTGCTTTTGATTTCACAAATGGGCTTCTGCCCTGTGGAGCCCAGTCCATCCCCTGCCTCCCCTCCCTGTTGCTGCCTTGGTTTGGACCCTCCTCTCCGCTGGCCTCAACTCTTAGAACACCCTGTCAGCCTTCCATCCGCCCTCCACCCGAGTGGAGTGCCAGGGAGACCGTGGCACAGCCTGGACTTCGTCACTCCAGGGCTCTGGGTCCCTTTGTGACTCAGACATCTCCAGAGGCTCTGCCCCAGAGACAGCGTCCGCACTCCCTGGCCAGCCTTCCAGGCTCTGCTGTTCAAATCCAGCCCATGTTCCCTTCTACTCTATACCTTTGCTCTTACTGTGCCTCTCTCTCAGGGCTCTCTTTCCACCAGAAATCCCATCTATGACTCCCTGTTCAAATCCAGCTGCATCTCACCTCCTCCCGGAAGCCTTCTGACCTTATCCCTACCTCCTTTGGCACCTGTTATGTGCCTACAGAGCCACTTAATGCCATCCTTGCAACAACTTTGCCAGGCAGGCTTGCTTTGTTATTTATTTATTTATTTGTCAGGGTCTGGCTCTGTCACCCAGGCTAGAGTGCAGGTGCACCATCATAGTTTACTGCAACATCAAACTCCTGGGCTCAAGCGATCCTCCCCACGTAGCCTCCCAAGCAACTGGGACTGCAGATGCGCACCACCACACTTCGCTACTTTTAAAGTTTTTTCTACAGATGGGGTTTTGCTATGTTGCCCAGGCTGGCCTTGAACTCCTGGGCTCAAGCAGTCCTCCCACCTCAGCCCCCCAAAGTGTTGGGATTACAGGTGTGAGTCACCTCATTTAGCCCATTTATTTGTTTAGAGACAGGGTCTCTCACTCTATTGCCCAGGCTGCAGTGCAGTGGCACAATCATAGCTCACTGTGACCTCAAACTCCAGGACTCAAGTGATCCTCCTGCCTTAGCCTCCTGAACAGTTGGGACTACAGGCATGAGCCACCGCACCTCACTGTCATTTACATTCTAAAGATGAGGAAACAAAGTTCAGAGAGGTTGCCTAGTTGGGTCAAGACCATAGAGCTGGAAAGTACTAGAATTTATATTCAGATCTACGTGACTTTGAAGCATTCACTTGAGATACTCCTTATTGTACTTAAATTGATAACTGGATATCTTATCTTATGCTATAAATTGTTTTAAAAAATGGTTTTTTTTTGAGATGGAGTCTCACTGTTGCCCAGGCTGGAGTGCAGTCGCACCATCTTGGCTCACTGTAACCTTCACCTCTGGGTTCAAACGATTCTCCTGCCTCAACCTCCTGAGTAGCTGGGATTTCAGGTGCCCACCATCATGCCTGGCTAATTTTTGTATTTTTAGTAGAGACGGGGTTTCACCATGTTGGCCAGGCTAGTCTCGAACTCCTGACCTTGTGATCTGCCTGCCTTGGCCTCCCAAAGTGCTGGGATTACAGGTGTGAGCCACCACTCCCGGCCTAAAAATTTTGTTTTTTTTGAGAT